ATATATGCTAATCTACCTCACAATTATGTATAACCAAGAATAAACTAATCATTTAGTTTCCAGTGCCTAGAATGTAGAGCCCTGTGAAGTGTGTGGTTGCATAAGAAATATGATTTTGTTTTATTTAAACAAAACTTAGAGCTCATTAATACTATCCTATAAAGCTGTAATACTGACAGTTAAGGAGAAACTGCATCGCAACTTGACAATACTAGAACATACTCCTATTAATTCTATACACATAGATAGTAATAATGGACATCCTCTAAGCATTATGAAATCTCTTTGATTGCAGCAGGAAACAGTTATGCAGTCGTCCCACTAAAATCAAGGAAAGTTAAATAAGCTTAACACTAGATAATGTCCAATGTGTAATCCACCCTTCTTCCTGGCATATTAATTGCCAGAAGCTATAATATCCTATCATTGTAGCGTAGTATTCTACACCATATCTGCTCTGATGTAGTGTTCTACTTTGTGTTCCTTAACCATTAAATTCTCCTCCCAAACAGGCAATATTATATTGCATATTTCATTTTTTTTCATGTGCAACTTTTTTATAGCTTAAGCCCAAGAAGCCAAGCAGAGCTGGGAACTAAAGGGCTTCAGAAGGTTGCCTTCTTCCCCATAGTTTGCCTAAATATTTAAAACTTAGAGGAAAGATTTTTGAATTTGTAAGCAATGATAATGACAGCAATTTAACCACTGCAGCAGATTTAATGGTCCATTTTTAATACCCCCATTATACTTCTGACTTTAGAAGCTAGATTCCATCACTTCTCAAGCCTACTAACCAAGGAGACAGTTTTGCCATCTCCATCCCTGGAAACATACTCGCAACTCTGGAAAAAGCATCGGTTAGTAACAGCGGGTACACTGTACCTGATATGCTTCTTTAGCACTTACCCATAACCCACAAAACCAAAGCCATTCATTTTGGAAACAGCAAATACTCTTCCACCATTAACTTCTTAACAGCCTTTTCCCCACCCATGCTTGTGACTCAGTTACAGTTAAGACCACTATAATACACTTTGTATTACATGGTTTAACAACATACTAATATAAATCCACTCATCACTGCAATATTAATATAGTGGGGATTAATGCTGACATTCAAAAGCACAAATATCAGATGCGTATTTACGGCTTCCTATATTCTGTTTTAATCACAACAGATCTTATACTTATCACTGCAAAAAACCTGGTTATTAAGCACAGAACTTTCCGACCTGTCTCCACATGATCGAATATGACTTACACTGGGGTTACTACTCTTGGCTTTGGATGCGGATTTTGTGCGCACCCTTTTGGACTGCTCATGATCCAACTCCAGATGTTCAAGGCGCTGGGTCAGAGCCAGCTTTTGCTGAATAGCCATGCGCAGCAAGGAATTGAGGGTTTTCTTTTCATCTTCAGCTGCAGCAAGCTGGCGTTGCATTTCATCCAGCTGAGTGACATATTCATCACACCTGCAACAAAAATGCACTTTTAAGCCTTTGAGTACTAACACACAAGAGTTAATTCATGTATTCCTTTTAAACACATTTATAACTCACAAGAATAGTCTATTCACATATGCATGGCCCCTGCGTACCAAAAATCACTCCTCAGTATCAGCTGTAGCAGCTCCTTGAGTGGGCAACAACCTTGATTGTGACAGTGCGTGGCTTTTGTGACTTATAGACAGGATCAAAGGGGTGCAAGCTTTTCATATAGAGCATGGCTGACTGGGAAATTCTGGGAGTTGAAGTCCAGACATCTTAAAGTTGCCAAGTTTGAAAAACACTGATATAAGAGCATACTTTTGACATAGCAGGTAAACCTCATACACAGAAATGTCAGGTTTACTGAGGCTTGCCAACCATAAAGCAAGTCTACTTGAATTGAAGCCTTCAGCATGACTAAAATTTAACTGCAAACTCTGCTAATATATAAAGATTACCATTTTTTTTAATCTTCTCCCTGTTTTTTGTTTTTGTTCATTACAGCTGGGAGATAGAATAGTGTCATTACCATCTTTATTCTCTGCAGCTTTTGGTACATCTCACAATCTATCTTGCACCTGTTGAAGTTATTTACATGGAATAAGTCAAGTTGCTCCAACTCCTTCAGCAGCCTCAACATTTGAAGACTGTCCTAACTGCCAACATTGGGGGACCATGCCCAGCTTCTTCTACACCAAAGCATATTGCTCAATATAAATAAAACGTATCAGCCCCCTAAGGCAGTTTTTGACATATACATACATTCAAAATATAATTCAAACTTTAATTTCAAAAAAATCCTTCATAACCATTTCACCACATGGCAATAAAATTAAAATAAATTAATAAGAAACATCATCACTAATCACAATGTTCAATTCACTAAACCAATTAAAATCACACCACCATCTCTTATAGCAACAATAGCAAAACCCCTCCTTCTCTTCATTAACAAGGAACAACTTTAAGATATAACTGTACAGCCTCATCAAAAGGCCTTTTCCAGCTGGTGTAAATTCCACCAATGCGGGGGCCCTGCAGATCCTCTAGCTGATCTCATGATACATTCTATTCTGGCTGGAACAAACCACAGAAAGCAGCCATGACCAAGGGTGGAGGTTTAATTCGTTTATACTTCGTTGCATCTATCTCCAATCGCTTTGGCTCCTAATTTAAGTGGGCATTTTTCCCATAATACAAGTTATGGTTACTTTCCATGATTAGTTCTGGAAAGTGGTAGTGTACATCCTGCTTTTGGCAATATGTCTCATGGGTGACAAACCATAGACTGCCAGAGTCAGTATGTATAAAGACTATGCAGTGTTTTGGATTTCCACTACAATAGCATGTGCCTACAATACCTTAAAGCTGTTGCACAATCCCAGGAACAGCAGCAGTGCATTACACTGTTGCAGAAAGGGGCAATGTTGGTGTTCCCCAGCTTCCTAGTCCCTCTTGAAAACCAGATCCAAAGTGCTACACAGTGCTAGTGACTATGCTGCTTCAAGAGGTGTGAGCACACAAGAGTTGCTCACCAAATGGCTTTACTGTATTATACTAGTGTGCCCCTGACATGCCATCAGAACTAGGAATCCTGATTTTCACATACAAAAATCAAAATATTCTTTTTAATTATTAAATAATATCATATGCTAAATTGCAACTGCTTTATTTACATAAATTTTCTTAACACATTTTTTTCATAGCTTATTTTTAAAAATCAAACAGATATTTACAAAAATTTTACAGGTCTGTTTTTAAATCTCCCATTTGCCATAAAAATATCAAATGCATGAGGTTTCACTGAGAATTAGCAGGCTGGAAGAATGGTATCCTCCTCCTGCCAGCCTGCATGTCTTCCCTTCCTCATCACATTCCACCATGCAATGGAAGGCAATTATTGAACTATTGGGCAGCGAGGCTGCTAGCAAGCTATAATAGTAACTGTATACAAATAACATTGAATTGTTGATACATTTTTATAAGGAGCTGAAAATGCAGTACATGGATGAGGAACAGTTGATATTATTGGAAACTGTTCAACAGACAGCTCTTGTTTTCATTACTAGGATGCAGGGTACAAGGAGCTGAACCTTTACATTCTATTCTGTACTCACTGGCAAGAGGAGAGAAAGTAGAGAAAGAACTCTAGTTCCACCTCACAACTGAAGCAGAGCCGAAAAGAAAGCATCTAAACCCATCTGTTCAGCTCAGAGAGCATGATCCATGGGGTCGTACGCTTGAAGCAGACTTATCAAATGTAATATAACTGTGCCTGCCTTCTTTTTTCTCTCTGTTCATAACTGTGGGAAATGATGTTGCCTAGATAACCTGGTCTGAACCAGCTGAGTTCTTAACTTCTCAGGGTGATTTCTTTAAAACAAAAACAACAAAATTAGAAATCAGGTAGCATCTATTAAAGATTGATAAAACAATCTGTATGCATTACAAACCCACCCGCCCACCCACTCATATATAATGTTCTTCGTAGTAACTAGCATCCCAGTTCATACTTAGCACTAAGGCACAATGTCGTATATTTGCTTTAGTATGATGTGCAAACACATCTATTATGGCTGAATGTTGCACGTGAACTAGGTCACTACAATTTGTTAGCATGGTTATGAATACCCATTCACGTTTCAAATTTTCTTGACAGTCTCCCTTTCATTCAGGGCTAGGATTGTTAGTATTCCATTCTCATCCTTTCTTGAATTACAACTCAGCCTTCTACTCAAATGCTACCACATTAATATCTTGATTAAGATGACAAGCTTCACCCCCATGAACCTTCTCAAGAGAATTTCACTATTTTATTGAAAGGATTCCAATAATGGTATGAAGAACCTAGTTCATTCAGCAACTTTTCTCCCATGTGATTTGTAAAAATCACGTGACTCAGACACAAATGCTATCAAATTCTATCAAATAACATTCAGTGTTGTTCCAGTCTTCAATGTTTGTTCAGTCCTTCTTGGCATTAAGGCATCCCGGCAACCATTAGTTGCTTCCAATCCCAGATGATTGTCCTCACAGGAGTTACTACAAAGATTTTTCATGATGATGCTTGTTCTCAGCAATTGTGATTTCAAGCAGGGAAGCCTATGATTATTTATAATGTGTTCTTTAACTGTGATTATACACCTTTTATAGCATTTGACACATAGCTATAGTTTCCAAAACCACCATATTTCTGAATGAGAAGGAATCACCCAAAATCTTTTATATCTTCACTTAGCAGGCAGGTTTTAAAAACTATCACATTTTTCTTCTTAACCACAACTGATTCATAACTTCATTTTCATAATGCTGTAAATTCTCATTTTTTATTTGCTTAAAAAGAAGAGCCATGACTACCGTCTCCTATATTTCACTTAGTGGCAGCATAGAGAATATAGATTCAGCCTCACGATCTATGTAATTAAAATTAGCATCTGAATAAGAAAAAACGAGTTTCACATCCAAGCCCCACCCCTTTCAAGGTTACTGGTATAAACCATACATACAATTTCACTGGCCGCGGGATTTTACCTGGTGGCAAACATGGCCCTCAGAGAGGAGAAGGTTGCAGCGTCTTCTTTTAAAGCCTTCAGTTCATTGCGCAGCTTCATCATCGTCTCTGTAACCATTGCCTTCTCATTTTCATACTTGCTTTTCAAGTTTGCAAGGGCCACTTCTGCCGTCTTGTTGTGTCCCCAAAATGAGCAAAATAAAACATTCACAATCATTTTAAGCTTCTACGAGCTAGTCAGATAAAGGGGACTTTAATGTATGCACACCCACGCAGACTTGACAATGCAGGCAATTAACCCAACGAACAATTAAAATATAATTCATTATTTCTGAAGATACTTTTGATATGTAAATTTAAGAAAGAATCAGAAATGTTAGAGGTGGAAGTTCATTGGGGAATAGCCTTTTAACATCAATGTTTTACCCAAATCCGTCTACCCAGCAATAACTGCAATGGAAGTGTCAAAAATGGCACAAATGAAAAGACTTTTATTGTGCTGCTTCCTCCACCATCTTACCCCTTTGATTTTCTCCGGGCCCACTCCCTCTGACATGGCTGCTTCTACCACCTTCACTGATGAGATTCAGGAACGAGTAAAGAGAAATGACACCTGATACTGCTACCTTGCTGAATCAGGCTAAAATTCCTTCTCCACTTTCCTACTTTAAAAACAACAACAACGAAGTGTTTTTTACTTCCTTTCTGGCAATTCTTATTCAGTGACATACTTTTCATACTGCCATTCAGACTATTATCCATCCTTTTTGGATATGTCTAACTTTGCCTTAAAACCATCTAAACAAATGATTAAGCTACACAAGTTGCCAAACGTTTTTGGGGAAAAGAGAGAATATTTGTCTCTGACTACTTTATCCTTATTATACATAATTTTATGTATTTTGGCCTTGCCTTCTTCTTAGTAACTTTTTCCTTAAATTACTGTTCATCAATAGAGATTTGTCTTTCTCTGCATCTTTTCCAGTTCATTACTTTCAATTTAGATGTACACAATATTCCAAAAGTAGCTTAATGATAGATTTATTTCAATCAGAGTAGTGAAATGCAACAAAAATTGGTTATGCAGGCAAAGAGAGACTGACCCAGAAGTTATAAGAATCAAGAAGTGTGGATTATAGAAAAACCTTGCTTCCAGGAGGGAGGATGATGGGCCTTCTGGCCACAAGCTTCTACAATACTACAGGAATGTCAACCCTTATGCAGTGTTATGTGCTGTCAAATATACTAAGAGCTGACAAATTATCTGGGGATGAAATAGCAATTGATTCTTATAAAAAGGGTGCTGAATGAGCTACTGTAATTACATTTCTGGAAGACTATCAATATGTATGTGTTGAATCCTTTCTCTGTGCAATGTAAATAGTGTAAAATTATAGTGGCTCACACTCAAATCTCACCTGTTTGTTGGCCTTTAGTACAGTCCTCAGTGTTGCAATCTGTTCTCTCTTGGTGCTTAGCAGAGACTTCAGCTTAAGAATTTCTTCCATAAGCGCCTCTTTATCTTTGTCCACTACTGGCCCAAGTTCCTGTGTAGTCACCCGCTGCCGCGACAGTTCAGTTGTTCTATCTACTGCTGCTTGCAAATGCTTGATCTGATCACGAATTATGGCAATCAGGTTGTAAATGTTCATAGGTTCCTTCCGGGGATCAGATACTGGTGAAGGGAGGGATGAAACTGGTGAAGGACTGCTTTCACCACTCCCGTTCTCTGATTTTCCTAAGTCTATCGACAATAAACCTTTAGAGAGCAGGATTGGCGATCTGTGGCCTTTGCCCTCTGGACTGGTACGTCCTCCTTTGCCCTGCTTGTAATAATCTAGCATCACTCTGTTGGGGGTTTCATTATTACACATGCATACATGGTGATATAAGTTGGCTAATTCCTCACTGAAGGTGACCAGTTCATCTTGGGCTACACTAAGGCTGCCCTGTGTTTCCCCAGCAACATCACTGACTTTCCTGAGTTCCTTCTCCAATCTGATGACCTGCTCTCTATCTTGCCTACTACATTTGTCCAAGGAACTGATCTTTTCTGTCAGGGCTTGAGTTTCTGTCTCATACCTGCCCTTATCCTCTTCATACTTAGATTCACACTCTTCATATTTAGCCTTGAGACCTTTAAGTTCCTCTTTCAAGTCACTAATCTCTGCCATAGCTACTTTATACTTGCACTCCAGGATCTCTGGGCCATTGATGTCAACCTCATAATAATCTCCATCTTCATGGCTGTCTCGGTCTTTTTCATTGTCAAGAGCAGACTGACGTTCCTTGCTGACCTGGAGCTTTTTCATGGCATTAAGGTTCTCTGTGAGCCTGCCAACTTTCTCATGCTGCTCAGAAAGTGCACCCCGGGTGTTCTCCAGTTGTTTTTGTGATTCTTGGAGTGTAGACAACAAATTCATTTTTTCCCTCTCCATCTATAATGAAAAAAACTGTTATTTTCTGAACTCATATATGGTCCTATAAAGGAGCTTCACATAAATGAAAAGTCTCAATTTAACACCTGGCATTTACAGGTAAATGTACAAAAGGATATTAGTCTAAGATTACTGAATCTGAATGTTTTAGGCTATCCTTTCCAGAATTTGGAATCATTACCAATAATCTTATTTTGTATAATTTATTCTCTGCTATTTGTGTTTTACACAGAAATATGTACCAAATTACAGGCATCTACTGTACCAGGGTTGAAAATGCATTCAGATGTTGGGGATAAATATGTCACACAACACAACTTAATTCTCACAGGTTGACATATTTGTTACATGTGATGGATTACTATTACTCTGTCCCAATAAACAGTTGCAACCTCATGTTTCTCTGGAGGCTGTAATGATGTAACAGTGAAGTTTAGGCAACTGTGTTAAATGAAAATAATATGTTCAGATACCATACCTAACAACTTCTCTAATTTTTCTTTATTATACACAGAATAATACAGGTAGTCCTCGCTTAACAACTGCCCTGTTTAGTGTCTGTTCAAAGTTATGATGGCACTGAAATGTAATTTTATGACTGGTCCTCGCACTTACAACCATCACACATTCTCCGTGATCATGTGATCACCATTTGCAAGTTTCACAGCTGGCTTCCAACAAGCAGAGTCAGTGGAGAAGCCAGCAGTAAAATCACAAGTCGTGGTCACGTGATGTCTTGCTTAATGACTGCAGGTAACTTGCTTAACAACCGCATTGGTTAGCAACGGAGTTGCTGGTCCCAATTGTAGTCATTAAGCAAGGACTATCTGTATATCATATATTGATTATGTAAATAAAGCCAATCCACAACAGTCCAACTGATGATCAAAAGAAATCCTACTATCTGTTATGGTAAACATATATTTTTGTAATGTTCATTTGTAATGTTCATGAGGCAAAGATGTATTGTACAAAATGAAATAGCTTTCTTGTCAAACAAAATAATCACTTGGAATTTGGATGGGATATTTTTATTCTTCAAAATTATACCTAAAGAAACTAAGCCAAACTAGAAAAGAAGTAATCTATTGTGAAGGCCCATATTTCAGCAAACTATTTTAAATGCCTCTACAGCAAAATCAGCAAATGAATATTAGCAACATTATAAAGTTCTATATGATCTCATGGGCGTCCATTTTTTTCTATTTTTTAATTAGATTTTTTTCTACTTTTAACATTTTAAATTTATCCCCTTTTTTAAACAAAATCAAAATAAAACTTTAAAAAGTTGGGTAACTTCTATGAAATCTTGTGTAAGCACAAAGAGTTTTTGCAATATCTGCCCATCTCATGAGATTTCACCTAATATGTATAAATTATTTAAATTAATCTCAGTATCACTGGACATAATTTACAAATGTGAAATGTGCCTTCCTGTAATGTTACAAAATTAAACATCAAGGCATTCCAAGGAGAATCTACTAGCAACAGAGGGCTTCAAATTTAACAGATTTATACTCTATGGGGACTGAAAGCATTATTTTCCTAAAACAGTGTATAAGGTAGTAAGAAATACCACATTTCAACCTTTTTGGAACCCAGGGTGTTCTATTTGTTATTTCAAATAGAACTAATATCAAAGATATATCAAACTTAAATACCACAAATCACTTCAACAACCTCATGTAATGAAACAGATTCTCTAACTAATACATATTTTGGGAAATGCTTAATTTTAAGAGATAGATATATGCATATTTAAGGAATATGTATAGTACAGACTTACTTGCATTAGTTGTTGTTTCAGCTTTTGGATTTCAGATATATTTAGCTCACTCAGAAGATCATTCACCAAACTAGGGGCTGGAGGGAAGCTATCGGCTTTTTTGGGTGTTGATGCTTTATTATTGCCACTGTTGATTTTACTCAGGCAATTCGGTTCAAAGCCGTTCACAATCTCGTCATTATTGGGCTCGGTGGTTTCATCGCTAAACTTCAGTCCATCCAAAGAGATGTTCAGATGGCTGGTATACATGGAGTCGTTGATATTCATATAATGAGACAGCTCTTTCCGAAGATTATTCTTCTGTTCACGTTCTGTCTTCAGGGTTTCTAAGGCCTCTTCAAGCTGGCGTTCAGATATCTCCTTTAACCTTATGGCATCTTCTAGCTGACTGTTGAGGAATTCTGTAACCTCTTCTAGTCTTTTGATTTCATGCTTCAGCCCTTCAAATTCCACCTGTTACAGAAAAGTTGTCACTAAAATACCTGATAGCAAGCATGAAAGAAAGAATGTTAAAATGTTCCACTAGAAGTAGCAAAAGTTGTACAAAAAAGGAAGAAATAAAAGGGTGGTGCAGAGCTTCAAACTTTTTTTTGTAAAGTTTCCTCACCTTTACCTTCCTTTAAAATACCAATACTAGAAAGTTATATAAAATGTTGTGTTCTCAATTAAAATTTGTTCTACCTCACCTATGATCTTTCATCTGAATTATTTTACATTAGCTTATTATAAAAATGTCATTTTTGAAAATCAGATACATATGAAATATCAGGTCAGTTTCTATTCATTTCAGTAAACCCTGGAAATTCTGTAAGGAACAAAACTGACATGAATCTAACACACAATACAGATCCCAGAGATCACTTACCTCCAAATACAGCAGCTGATAGAGGATAGTACTTTGTGTGTTTAATAAATTGGATTCTGGATTGTAAAAGCACATGCCACAACACATTTGTAGGTTTTCAGGATACAAAGCTCATTGTTAGTTTCACTAAAACAGATTGAAACAATTTATTGTCTACCCAATATATTAATTTTGCTTGTGTTGCAAAAATGAAAAAAAGCAAATGAAAGGTAAGTGAAAAAAGATAAAGCTTTATAGTGTGGGGTGACCATCTTTTGGGGCTGTGACACCTTTGAAATTTTGAAAGCTTGTGAAGGGCTCACTCACACATGGCTACCTATTCCCAAAATAACTATACTGCAGGAAAATATCAATGTATCAGAAGGTGAGACAGCCCCCTAGGATGCTCTCTACTACCTAGGTAGACTTTTGTGGGGCCCAAGGACATTACTGTAAATCAGAATGATGCAAGAGGCTGGGTCTTGCTTTGCAATTTGCCAGCTGCTGCTGCTGCTGTTCCAGCTTCTTCTTCATTAAAAGAGCCTGGTGGGCACTAAGGGAAACATCTGGCAGTACAATGGTATCTGTGCACACCCATTATTTACCACTTTCTTATAGCATCAAAGGTATGAGATTTTGAGGACTAAAATCTGTGGCACTGGACACAAGTTACCTGCTTCCCTCATACACAACCATGTAACATAATAAGTGCTAAACCTCTGAAAGGATTACTTCAGTACCCACCTGATTCTGTTTCAGAATAGATACTTGTTTCTGAAGACAGATGTTCTCTTCCTCAAGTTCAGTGTAATCTTGCAGCAAACGAGCTTCTCGGAATTTATACTCTTTGATGTCATCTCGTAAGCGACCTCTCTGGATCTCCACATTCTGATTTATCTGTAAGAAGTGTATTAGCATTAACTACTTTTTGTCTTTTCTACAATAGTGCATGATCTAAAACAATCACTTCCAACTTGTGGTCCTACACAGGGAAGGTAAGATAAGGTAATAATATAATTATTTTTAACTTTTTAAAAAAACAATTATATCCTGCCTTTCAGGGTAACATTCCTCCCAAAAAATTATAAATTACAATAAAATAAAATTCGTAATAGGAAATAAAAATTTAATAAATGTTATTTAAAAGCAAAGAACTTTCTAGGAACCTTCCTATGGTATGATGGGAAAATCCAGCTGGGTAGGTGGCTTCTGGTAGCTGTTGCCTGCCTGCCTGCCTCCCTCTCTGTTCAGAGATCCTTTCTGTGGCTAAATAATCCTGTACCTTTCAGGCAATATATTATTTGCAATGTAATTTATTCACATTCCAATTTACATGAAAATTGGGGAGTGCCTATTTTACTATTTCTGAGCCATTTCTGAGAGTTAATGTAGAACTAATGGGATTGCTGCTATTGTACCAGCCTCCCTGCTGCAAAGCAGCTTCCCTACTCAATCAATGTTGTGGCTACACTGACAGTGGATTCCCCAGACTGATAGTACTGATGGACTTTAATCTGCCTTCCCTGGGCACAGGGTTGGAGGTGGCTCAGGAATTCATGGCCTCCCAGGCAATCATGGACCTGACCCAGTTATTGTGTCCCTGACTCACAGCAGTAGTTACAGATTAGACCTGATTTCTTTCTCAGGATAGTGATGATGTGATCTGGAGCTGGAGGATATCATTAATCCCTTGTCATGGTCAGGTAACTCTTGTTAGCCTGCTGATGCCCTGCACCTCAGGGAGTAAGTACCTATTTGATCTAGTGATACCAGCTGCCTGATTGGTTTCAAAGGGAACTTGGGGTTGTTTCTGCAGCTCTGCTAGTTATGCCTGTTCCATAACACTTACAAGATACTTGATTCCCAACTTGACTGCTGGGGATGCTGGCAGACACCTTGAACCATAGATTACTCAACTAGATAGTTTACATCTATCACTCAGATGAATCTCCATTATACAAATAAGGGAGGAGTAATACAAATAACTCAGTAAAATAAAAAATGTTTTCCCTTCCTTTTCAATGATGCTTAGTCATTTTTTATTTTCTTTTATTTCAAATAAGCCAGAAGTAGCATCATAATTGTAATCAATCCTGTCAGTTTTATTTATTCTAAATTTAGCAACCAAATCAGGCCTGAGTTGGACTAATCCTTTCCACAAGTAGTAAGCACACCCATCATTCCAACCTGAAATGACTTCTATGTAGACAACATACCTAAAAAAATTAAAAGCACATCTGGAATACAAAGGTATTACTCTCAGAATTTAATTGTAGAAAAAATGCTACCCACATTCATGATGCCATTAAAAACACATTTATATTTATGTTGAGTTAAAATATTCATTACAATAAAATCTCTCAGATTTCCCACACATGAGAAACAAATAATGCCTTCAAGCTTATGTATAATTTAGAAATACAAATGTGGAGACAACCTTGGCAGTTGTCAATCTCTTGATATATTTTCTTCAAGAGATTTCCTTTCTCTCTCAATTAATTAGCATATATTTTCTAGTAAAATTTGCCTCTTAAGGAATAAAGATGATGTGGTGTAATCTTGTGAAAATTATATTAATGAATGCAAAGGAAAGCCTCCTTCCCCTCTCTCTAAATTACAATTATAAAATCATAATTATGGTGATATCTTTCAGCTACGTCACTCATTCTTTTTAAAGAGAGCACACAGAGTCTACTTTGTCTTGATTCATATCAAAAATGCAAAATGGTAACAGCCATGACTTGAAGGTATATCATGAAGAATGACTTGTGCACTGGTACTTTTACTGTATATTACCACAGCAGAAATGTATTGTAAGATAGATAGGAGATGCTAATTTTGAAAGAAGACCTTAACTCTTCTTCTGAAATTACTCTATCTTTCCCACCAACCTACAGCAATGTATGGAGAATCCTACTGATGAACTGTTAATCAGAATATGACTCTCCACCCTCTTGCCTGGCCACAGGATCCACCTTGCTACTAATGCACTAACAGAGTGTACTGTACTCACTGTACAGCTCTTCTAATGCATCCTCTGCAATAATTTCCTCTGCTTTGGAATCAGAGTGCTAATGCAACACTATCTTAATTTCTGTTCCTCTATAACACCATCTCTTCATGCCTAGATAACTATCCTGTTTAGATTTAGCTACGTTTTAAACTATTTTTTTCCTTCCATGACTAATTTTTTTGGCAGATACCTCAAGTATTTTTTTTTAGTCTACTGAAGTCTAGTTACACGTGCTGTTTACTTCCATCTGGCATGCCCTTTTCCTTATCATGAAGAAGCAGAAGTAGATATATGAATCCTAGGTATGTTCTCTAGGTATATAATTCACGTACATCTTATACTTTATCTCACTGTGTTGCAATTAAGGCAAACCTGGTCTTTTATTCTGAATTGGCAAGGAAATGAGTCATGCTTCTTCGCATCCTTTTGGTCACATTTTTCAGCATGGATAATCTTCTGTTAATATTAGAGAGACAAAATCCTGTCTATAAAAAAAGTATCATTCATCTAAGAAAATATTAGAAACTACTGTAGTTATTAATGAATCAACCATTTCTTTTTCATTCAGAGCACACAAATAAATTCATCTAAATTACTGCTTGCCACATTCTCTGTATTAGCAACATTGAAAGAAGCCTGTTGCTTTATCTGCTTTTTTTTTTAAAAAAAAACCTATTTAATTATCCTTAAACAACAGGAACTGTATGTTCTTA